CTATTTGTATCAGTGTATTGCCTCTTACCCTAACAGACATCCATCATTAAAATTATTGGCTAATTATTTAAATTGTCATCGTCGTCGTCTTCTTCATCATTCTCATCTCATCCTCAATCATCATCATTATAAGAATCACAATATTAAAAACATCATCAACAACAACAACAGCTGCAACAACAACAACATCAACGAAAACAACAACAACAACAAACACAACAACAACAACGAAAACAGTCTCAACAACAACAACAACAACAGCATGAAAACCACCTTTACTGTATTTTTTCTTCAGTTTGATGGACTCACCAGAGGACTTTTTCACCTCCCCATATAACTTCTTATAATCTTTTAAAAGTAAAATTAAATAAAAAGTTACAAAAATTCTCAAAGATGCATGTATACATACATACATACAATCATGATGTTCACAATACATACAATACAATACCATACAATACAATACAAAAAATACATACAATACAATGCATGCATACAGTAACGATAATCACCCTTGCTATGTTCTTTATCCAGTGCAACAACATTCTTCTTCCATTCATCCATCTTTTCTTGGATTGGTAGCACTAGACTGTCACCCAAGGAGCTATTTATAGATCGAATAGTGAATGATTTGTGTGTGATTAGTGTAGGAATAACCATTCAAACTTATCACACATACACATACAGATACACACACACACAAACACATTAACACACACATATACAGTCACAGCCTAGCGAAAATAATGATGATGACAACAGTTACAATGACAATCCCCCAACAAACACAAGTTTGTAACATAAGTAACTTGGTAACATCAACAACAACAACATAAAAACAACAACAACAACAACATTAAAATCAGCAACGACATCACAACAACAGCCTCAAATACCACCAACAAAACAAATGACATCAACACGAACTTAATGCACAGCTTAAGTTGTGTCTCCATCTGCTTGTGTCTCATACACAGCCTCGTCAGGGACGACCCTATATCCTTAGGGCCCCCCTTCGAGTCCAGGGCAAGGTCAGCCAGTTTCTGAAAAGCCTCTAAAAAGGATGATAGGGCTATAACTGTGTACCTGCGATTGTGATGATGATTAGCTGATTGGAGATATGATATACATTAGATATAGATGTATCTGCAATTGTGATGATGATTGGCTGATTCGAGATATGATATAAATTAGATATAATGTATTTGAGATTGTGATGTTGATTGGCTGATTGGAGATATGATATACATTAGATATAGATGTATTTATCAATGTGATGAAAAGATTGGCTGATTGG